CTTTTTTATACGCACTAATTACTTTGCCCACACATTTCGACGTGGGATTTGTTTAAAAAAAGATTTGTAGAGAATCACTTTTGAGTTCAATCGTTAGTGATAGGGGTGGGTGTTCAAACCGAACCGAAAAATTGCACTAAACCAAAAAGTCAAATATGAGATTATTTTATCCCATCTCTCATGTGGTATAAATTACTCCTGAATTATAATTCCAAGATAATTTTGTCTGCGTACCAAATGACTCCTTAAAGTGTAAGATGGGGAGTGCAACACCATCGTAAGTAAATTCAGTTTCTTTCTCATTTTTCATGCCTTAGTTCTTATGCTAATGCCTCAACTATTGTTGTTGAACAACATTAATTGATTTGAAGGTTCTTATTACTCATTACATTGCTCAACAAAAAAAAAGATTATTTTTCACCACTGAAATATAGAAATTGGACTTGATAATAATGGTATAATTTATAGAAAGAAAAAACTGATTAGTACTATGTTGATAGTCACAGAGTCTCTTGAAGATTTTTTTTTTTAAAGTTCAATACTTCTTATCTATAGTAGACCAAACGAAGTCTCACTTCAGAATAGATTTAAACAATTTGAAGCGTGTGCTCTTCAATGTTCGTTAAAACATAATAGTCACTCTAATATTGATAATTTAGATTTATTTTTTAAATTAAAAATGTTAAATGATTTAGACTTACCTAAGATCAACAATGTCTCAAGAAATATTAAATGGATTAGCTATATTATCAATTTAAAAAGAATAATTAGAAGAAATCGATTGTAATAAAAAATAATTTTGAATCTCACAAAGCTAAAAAAATAGACTTCAAATAAATTAAGATTTTCTTTTTAAGTTTAAGACCTCCATTAAACTCTGACTTTAGGCCCCTAATGTGGTTAACCCGCCCTTGTAAACTGTTATGCTATCTGCCTTAGAGTTACTCGACACTTGTGCTAATGAAAGAATATATATCCGATAGAATAGTTGAGGTATATGTAAAGCGGTCAAAAAATGATCTTCACAAGAGAATGATGCCATATGTAAACCAAGCTATATATACACATGCATGCAATAACAGAAATGCACGAACAATGAGATCACTCGTAAACCAAACTCTACGTTGCAATACCTAAAATATAACAATATGAGATCATTCAAGACTCAACATTTTCAAGTCCTTATTTCTCAGGGACCCCACACAGACGACGCATTTTTCTTCGTTAATGCTTCACGGAAGTTTCTTGTAAAACTAAAGGGAAAAGGCGGCAAGAACAAAAGGAAGTACAAATACGTTATTTCTTCATAAAGCAAATAATGTTTTTTGTTGCTTTATTAGATTGATGCTTTAGCTTTCAAGCCAAATAATTAAGTTGCTTTTGCGATTGTTGCTTCAACGTTTTAAATCTAATATTTTTTAGGCGGTGAACTATGAGCCCACCAAAAACATAATAATAAGAAAAGAAAAGTAAGAAGCATCCACTGACTTAAACTTTACTGTCACTACCTTAATTGTGTGTGTGTGTTTTTTCTTTCAGGAATGAGATAACGCAGAATCATAATATTGTCAGTTTTTTTTTTCTCTCTTCCTTAGTGAAGGGAGAAATACAATGGACCGACTCGAGATCAGAGGCGAATACATCTTGCGGCAAGTGATGTGTAAATTTTTTATTAAATAAGTATATATAGATATTACGCAAATTGAAAATATTGTGTAACATTCTCAAAAAATAAAGACTAATTATAATATTTAATTATTAGTTGAAGCGATATGAAACTAAAAGTTAAAGGTAGTTAAGTTACAAGAAGAATAACTTCTCCTTGTAAGAAGTCATTTTCGTCCATTTAATGCACAATATTTTCTTTGTAAAATGACTTCAGTCAATTCGAATGCGACATAATAACTTTTTTACAAAGTTTGGGGTGAAATTCGTTTGGGTGCGCACTAAGTAATCTGCTTATTGTGTAATATCTCACAAACCACACATAAGATCATGTAAACCGCACTAGACAAGCCCGATGCGACGAGTTCTGCATGAGGAAGCTTTTGGTAAAAGGAATCTCATTCTTCTATAAGGAAAACCACTCACTCAGCCGATCCTTGCGGTCTACGACACAATAACTTGCTCATGTTAAACATCTACGGTAAAATATATATATCCTTCGTCATACCAAATACACCTTTCCTTTTTCATTTTTTGGTTTCATTGCGTTCTTTTCGAGGACAACAGGCTTGGTCCTCGGGAGTTTTTTCGTTTGTTTCTTTGTCCTTGGAAGCTGATTACAATAAATTCTTTTTAAGAAAAAAACAAAGTACTCCAGATCCAGCAACAAGCTTTAATTCTATTAAATAATGTCAAACAAACTAAATTACAGAAAAAGGTAAAAGAGAGATGAAAATAAAATTAAGACAATAAAGAAAGATTCCAAATTCCAGATGCGAAAGTGAAAATCCAGGTGTTGCAGTTCTGGTCCTACCCAGAATAGCAAGGAATTTTCTGGAATATAATTAAGACATGACTTTACTTTGCTGTTTTCTTCTTCCTCCCACTTCTTTTTTCCTTAGTTTAATTTTCACCCAGCTCGTGNCTTCTTTTACACCTAAGAGGTCAAGACTTTTTTGCCTATAAAAGGGAAGGCCATTAGTTCATTTTAGATACACCGACAAGACTTGTCTTCAATTCTTGTTTCTTCCTTTCTTCCTTTATTAAGAGTGTTTTGTATGAGAGTTAGTGTTGGGAAGCACTTGTGTGAACCCTTTCTTTGGAGTGATCTTGTGAGGTTATTCTCTTAGGGTATTTGGGATTAATTAGAGTGTTTACTCTAATTTTGTACTCTCTTTTGTACTCTTATTGTTATAGTAAATTGCTCCTCTCCGCTTGTGGACGTAGGTCACTTTGACCGAACCACGTTAAATTTGTGTCTTCTTTATCTACTTTAATTGTCGTTGTTATCAACTTCCATTGTCTTTGTTATTGCCATTATACCGTTGTTTGGCTATATTACGCAATACTCGGGTTCCCGATCCTAACAAATTGGTATCAGAGCCGGATCTAACCGGGTTAGTTTCAATAGCCAAAATGACTCTAACAAAGACCTATGTTGAGAAATTTGACCAAAGTGCAAACTTCGTAATGTGGCAATTAAAGATAGAAGCTATCCTAATTCAAGATGGCTTAGACTTGGCGTTGCAAGAAAAGTAAAAGAAGCCGGATAAAATAACGAATGAGGAGTTTGCCGTCATAGACAAAAGGGCAAAAGCAGGTATCATTTTAAATCTCTCAAATGAGGTTTTACGTGAAGTTTCTGTAGAAACCACAACCAAAGGCATGTGGAAAAAATTAAAAACCTTATATATGAAGAAGACGGTAGAAAATAGACTTTACCTGAAGCAAAAGCTTTATACAATTCGTATGGGTAAAGGTACCTCTATTCTCTCTCATCTTGACATCTTTGATTCCATTCTTATGGATTTGAGTAATATAGATGCTGAAATTAAAGATGAGGATCAAGCCGTGCTACTGCTTTGTTCTCTACCCCCATCTTTTAAGAATATAAGAGATACTATACTTTATGCAAAGGATAATATCTCTTATAAGGATATTAAATCTATTTTAAAATTAAAGGAACAGATAGATAATGATATTACTGGGGAAGCTAGTGGAACTCAAGCGGAAGTTGGCTTGTTTGTTAGGGGCAAATCCGACTCCATATCCAGATACAATAATCTACAGTGTCGCTATTGTCATAAGAAAGGTTACATTATCTCCGAATGCTATAAGCTGAAAAATAAAGAAAAGCATAAGGAAAGAAAAATCGAGCACAAAAATACTGACACTGCCGAAGCTAGTGTAGCAACTGATGAGATTGAGGGAACTATATTTTTAGCAATTGAAACTAGTTTCAGATTAGACAATGAGTGGATTTTAGATTCCGGTTGTTTATATCATATGTGTCCTAGAAGGGACTTGTTTTCTACATATGATTTAGTTGCAGGTGGAGTTGTCCAATTGGGTAACAATGTTACTTGTAACGTTATTGGCAAAGGTACAATTCGGGTTAGAATGCACGATGATGTGGTGAGAACTCTCACCGATGTTAGATATGTTCCTGAGTTGAAGAAAAATTTCATATCTCTAGGCACTTTAGAATCCCTTGGGTGCAAATTCACTGGTGAAGGTGGAGTTCTGAAAATTTTTCAAGGTGCTCGTTTGATCATGAAAGCACACAGATCTAGTTCGTTGTATACTTTATTGGGACCCACTGTTATAGGCCCTACTACAGTTTCAGTATCAGACAATTTGTCTGATTTTGATGGCATTAAATTTTGACATATGCCCATTGGGGCTTTTACGGAGAAGGTGGAGCAAATTTACTATATCATCCAAAATTAGACCAAGGTGGAGATTTGTAATATGGCCATTATTTTGTCAAATGGAGTCCATCTCACATAAGCATAAGCATCTTTGTAAAGTGTAGACTTTGTTGGCAATATTCTTTGGGACCTAAAAATATTGCATTGTGTGTTTGACATCATTTGTACAAGTTGTATCTCTTCTTTTACACCTAAGAGGTCAAGATTTTTTTGCCTATAAAAGGGAAGGCCATTAGTTCATTTTAGATACACCAACAAGACTTGTCTTTAATTCTTGTTTCTTCCTTTCTTTTTTTATTAAGAGTGTTTTGTATGAGAGTTAGTATTGGGAAGCACTTGTGTGAACCCTTTCTTTGGAGTGATCTTGTGAGGTTATTCTCTTAGGGTATTTGGGATTAATTAGAGTGTTTACTCTAACTTTGTACTCTCTTTTGTCCTCTTATTGTTATAGTAAATTGCTCCTCTCCANTATATATCGCTTAATCACGTGTTTTTGATTTTTTTAAAAAAATATTTTGGTGAAAATTTCGCCTCGTGTGTTATACAACTCAGCAACTACGCACAAGCAACACTCATACGTGTATATGTGTGTCTATATATTATTTATACACACTTATTCTGTGAAATACCAATACTACAAAGCAAGAAAGAGTTAAAGAGCAACCCCAACGTATATAATTCCATTATTCCTTTCTTTCCAAACTCTCATCCATATTCTTATTGATATTTTTCATCTTCTTTCTCAGTTCATTTTATTCAAAAACTTTATGGCTTCTTACAACAGCATTCACCAAGAGGGTATGCGCTTTTTCTTTTCTTTTTTCTTCTTTTTTAGTTTTTGTGATTGAGAATTTTAAAGAGTTACACATAATTCGTGTAATTTTTTGGCATGCAGGAATTGAGAAGAAAGAGCCAACTCCTCTGGAAAAGCATGTTATGTTCTTTGATATCAACAAGGATGGAACTATTTACCCTTGGGAAACTTATCAAGGTTTTAATTTCTATCTAAATATTTTCATTTCATTTTTTCTTTAGCATAGTTTGGGGGAGTATGAAACTACAAAGCAATTGTGGCCAAGCGATCAATTAATTCTAATTCGTCATATTATGAGTTGAATTGTGATCTTTGTCTAGTCCTTGGAAAATATCTTTTTGTTCGTTTGTCGTTTTTCTTTCTGTTACAAAATAATTTCCATATTATTCAGTATTACTTTTCTACTTCATTTTATGTACCATCTTTTTTTTTTCTTCTGAAAACAATCTTCTCTCTGATTTTTACCAGGTTTTCGGAAAATTGGAAGTGGTATTTTCCTCTCCATTTTCGCCTCCATTTTTATTAATGCTGGCCTCAGTCGCAAAACTCGACCTGTAATTCTCTCCATCTCTTTCTCTATATATGATTCTTTTGAGTTTCATAATTTCCTACACTTGATTATGATGTGGTTATAATTGGAAAACAAATTTAAAGTTTTAGTACCAAACCAAAATTGTTTAGAATTTGATATTTGCAAGTTTATTTAGGATTTTTAGTCAAATAATTAATATAAGAAATGTTTTTCTGTTCGTAGTTAAAATAGATTTCATACTATTATAAATAGGATTGTTAGCTTATTTTAAGTGTGGAGGTATGTGTGAAGAACTTGTAGAGAAGTGTAGAAAATCATAGAGATTATCAAGAGATTTATTATTTGTTTTCCTTCATATATTAATAAGTTGTTTGATCTAGATCTCATTTTGAAGATCGTAAGAGAAATAAAACAGAATTACACTGAAAGACTATGGTAGGTATATTCATACTACTTAATATGACATAGAAGAACTAAACTGAAAAAAATAAATGAGAAAATTTCCCTTTGTTTCCCTAACTTGAAGAGAAGTTATGTATGAATGAGTAGGTAACAAGAGTTAATTAGAATGTTCAACGGTGGAAAGCGATTAAAATATTGTCCAATCTATTTATTCACGAATTGTTCGTCCATGAAGCTAATTACTTTATTTATTTAAGATTCTATTGGTAAAGTTTCATATCAGATAATAAGCCTGTGGCCCTGATCAGAAATATATTTCCACCTTTATTCTCTTATTTGTGCATGACTATCGATAATTATTATTTATTGGGTATGAAGCCGTATTAGTTAGGAAGCACTTTACTCTTAATGTGAGGACTTTCCGGCGCGAATTCGGATTTAATTAGATTCCAATGCGAATACCGAACAACCGAATGAAAAACAAAAATAGGAGAACTATTATTTACGTATTAATTTGTAGATGCAAGGGTTGTGAGAAGTACCCTTGCCTGTCGGAGGAGGGAAGAAAAATGACACTAATAGGAGAATAGAATTAATTAATAACAACCCCATAAATTTGGGACTCGTCATAATTTAGTTGTGGCACTAATAATTTATGCTAAATTTAGAAGATATATTTGTGTATTCTGCTAAAATATTATCCACATATGACGACGGATCCTTCCTTTCTGGAGAAACAAAAAAGAAGGAAAAAAGGAAAATAAACATTTCACTGTAGGATAACAAATGCACTTTACACTTTACAGTTACTCCATTATTTAAGAGAGTTAAACTACTCTATATTGACATCGAAAAAAATATTTACATTATTAGTAATCTGGAAAATAACACAAACAACAAGTTAAAGTATTGATAGCGAAAAATTTATATTTAGGCAGAAGCTTTTATAGAAGTGGTTTGGCTGGCTGGAAATGGACCCTAATATTACCAAAAGTGGAGCAATAAGATAGCTTTTATATTCTAATATGCACGTGATTTTGGAAAGTGCCAAATATGGAGCAAGCTGGCAGATGCCCATCTTAATTCCTTTCACTTCATGAATTGGATTTCATATTCTTGCTAATTGCTTTATCCCTAATTAAGTAATTAAGGTGCACAATCAAGCCATCGTGTTCACATGCAAATTAAATAAACCAAACATTACCTGTTGCATGGTGTGTTTAATGACGTTTTAAAGTTATTCTTTTCCAATTTTGTTGTGCTTTCTAATTCTAATATTTTTAGGAAAAGATTCTCATAGTTTTGGCACCTTTTAGAGAATTGAGTACGTTATAGGCGCTATTCATATGAAGTTACATGTAATTGAATTTAAATAAAAATAATTTATAGTATGTTGGGCCAAGCTTCTCCAATTTTGGCCAAGTTTCTAGGAAGGTAAAAAAAAAAAACGTACTTCTAAATAGAAACAGAAGCAATTTTTGAGAAGAAAAAAAAAATAGCTTCTTCCCAAATATTTTTTTGAAAAATGCTTTTGAGAAAAAATACATTTAGAAGCATTTTCTAAAAGTTTGGCAAAATACTAATTACTACTCGAAAGTACTTTCCAAATTGGTTAGCGAAATATAAATTATTTTTCACCAAAAATACTTTTTAAAATAAGCTGCCAATAATTTATTAGACTGTCCATGTGTGAAAGACACGAGTTAGAGTCAGCTCATAACAACCGGAATATAGCAAAAAAGAATCTCTTATTTTGACTAGTATTTTGTTATTTATATTTCAAAATGATTGTCTTAGTTTGACTTGGCACAAGCTTTAATAAAAAAGGGAAGACTTTTGAAATATGTAGTCTTAAATAAGCTATAACATTTGTGTGGATGTAAAACTTTTGAAATTTGTGGTTTGAAACCTGCCATAGCATTTGTATGACTATAAATACTTCTTATTAAGAAAAAATTGAAAGATGTCAATCATTTTGAAACAGACTAATAAAAAAATAATGTCAATCTTTTTGAAACAAGAGAGAGTATTAAACAAACCCCTCTTTCTTTTATTGATCTAATTTCATTAAAGATCAATGAACTATCAGAAATGATAGAGCTATAATCATAAGTGATACAACTTCAATTCACAAATTAATCAAGTTTATTCAAGATTTAGACATGCGAGGACGTACCAATTAGTCAATATCGGTCATATATATATTTAGTTAGTCAACGTCTTTGGTACTTAACTACACACTATAAATTCATGAATAATATATAGTTTTGCTCGAGGAAAAATGATGGAGGGAAGAAACTGATAACTATTACGAATGCACAGGGGAAATGGCCTTCTTTACTGTTTCCTATTGAAGTGAAGAACATCAAATTAGCAAAGCATGGCAGTGATAGTGGCGTCTATGACACTGAAGGAAGGTACGCATCTCGTGCCTCTCTTTATCCCACTAGCTAGAATCTCTCCCTCCCTCTCGACCGAGTTAGATTTTGAAGTTTATTAGTTTGAAATTCCAGTTTTTTTAAGTTACGGATCGGAGTTCTAAATACATATTAAACGAATTTCTTAATACAAATGCAAATTTCAGTTCAAAATTACTGAGTTTCGCCGAACTCGTACCTTAAACGCTAGCTTCGCTCCTGCAGTCCCCCTAACTTATTGTTAAGAGAGCTAAGTTTCATCTCAGACGTGTGAAAAGTAGTTACATGTTGGTGTCACTTAAAAACTAATGTGATAAGTGTTTATTCAACGTATGAATTGATAAATATGAAAAATTATGAAGTATCTGTATTAATTTGGACGAGCACAAATAAAGTCATTGCATAGTCAGTGAATAAAACTTCAGTCTCTTATTGTTGATGCTTACCAAGGGTTCTATACTGCTTATAAAGTATATTTTAGGCTGAATACATATGTAGCCCCTTAAACTTGTCCAATTTTTTCATTTAGACACCTTAACTAAGAGTTGTTGCATCTTGTTTTGCAGTTAGATGTTTAATAGGACACACTGCTTTAATTTGAGTTCAGGTGTTCAATATATAGGAACAGTTTGGGTGTCTAATGAAAAAAAATGGACAAGTTTAATATGTATTCAGCCTATATTTTAGCATACTTGAACAGTGAAACTCAATTTCTGCCTTGCCAATTGCCATTTTGAAGGTTTGTTCCCGAAAAATTCGAAGAGATATTCAGGAAACATGCACGTTCAAATGGAAACGCCTTGACAGCCCAAGAACTGGATGAAATGCTCAAGGCAAATGAGCAACCAAAGGACTCTAAGGGACGGTAATATAAATTTCTTATTGTCAACTTGGATTTTACCCATCAGTAAATTATTAACATGTAATTAGTATAATCTGTATTTTAGGTTATTAATTAGTTTCATTTATTATGAGCAGAGTTAGTTACCTGTATTGTTATACTTTAGATGATTTATTAACATGTAAAAATTTCTTTTACATCGTGGCGTAAAACTCCATTTTTATGGCCTCTTGAGAAAAGTAATAATATAATAAACTGGATTATGCAGTATTGCTGCTTTATCAGAGTGGAAAATCCTTTATTTCCTTTGCAAAGACAAACATGGATTGTTGGGAAAAGAAAAGGTTAGAGGTGTTTATGATGGTAGCCTATTTGAACAGATGGCAAAGGAGCACCAATCCAAGAATTGCAAGTGTAATTATCAATCTTCATCTCCTAATCAAATTTAATTCCTCATTATTTGTCAAATATGTTTTGCATGCAATTGATTTCTCCAGTAACTTGAACAGGAAAAAAATCAGAGCTATATGAAAACTGGAAGGCTCTTGCAAATGGTCTGCTGCAGTTGTGCCTTTGTGTGTAACAACAATGTACAAATACGTAAAGTTGAATCTGGTGGACTTTCATAGTATTTGTAATTGTGGAATATTCTCTGAACTGTGTGGATCGGAAGTGACACTTTAATTGTTTGTTCTTTTCTCTTATTCTTGTTATCAATATGAAATGCCTACATTTTGCGTGCATGAAATGACCATGGTACTCATAGTGTTTTAAAAGGCGTGGGCGTAAGACAAACATTTTATATATGTCTCAGCGAGGTGTAAGCCCTGAGGCATGGGGCGTAAGCCCCACACGTATTTAATTTTTAATATTTCATGAATTACAGTAAATATTTCTAAGTATGTAAAATTACATAAAAATAAAAGAAAACTATAAATAAGTAAAAAATATATATAAATGTGCTACATCTCCATAAAATATTAGTCAAAATAATCATCTCTCCGCTACTTACAAGCACAAATAACTTGAATTGAATAAAATAAAATTTTTTACATGGAGGAACAAAAACGATAACCTACAATTTTAACTTTGAACTTACTGCTATGGAGGAGAATGAAGTTTTCTTTGTATTTGCAAAAAAATTAACTATTCGTTACTTTTGAAAGATAGTAGCAGACTTGCGAACAAGATAAAGAATTGGAAAAGTCCATAAATTAGAGATTCTAGCAATAAAATAAAAGGTCTTGACTTTAAAATATTATATTAAACTTTAAAGACTTCCCGTGCTTTTTTAAAGACTTTTGGGTAATTACATGTTGATTTTTGAGAATTTGGGTATTATATTAAGGACTTATTCAGAAATTTTATTTTAATTTGAAAAAGTCTCTTGGGCTTACACCTCACCACAAAAATGCACCTCAACGCCCGGGCGCTGGGTGTACGCCTCTTGAGACTTCCTCCCCTCAAAATTGCCAAAATTGCCTCGGGAAATTTTTAGTGCACCTGACCCCAGGGCTCGATCGCCTCGGGGCTTGCCCGAAAAACGCCTTTTAAAACACTGCTCATGAAGAGGCGGATTCGAAATTTTTAATTCACTACAAGAAATTGAGGATACGCCGACATTTATTTAGTGACTATTGAAATAAATGTCGGGAAAAAAAAGATGTTTTTGACATTTATGACAAAATGTCGTAAAAACTACGACATTTGATATAAATTGTCATAGAAACAATGACATTTGATACTAAATGTCGTAAAAAAATGACATTTGATACGAAATGTCGTCGGAACAATGACATTTTTGAAGAAATGTCGTAAAAAGTACGACATTTGCTATAAAATATTGTAAAAACTAGACATTTGATACAAAATGTCGTAAAAAAATGACATTTGATACGAAATGTCGTCGGAACAATGACATTTTTGAAGAAATGTCGTAAAAAGTACGACATTTGCTATAAAATATTGTAAAAACTAGACATTTGATACAAAATGTCGTAAAAAAATGACATTTGATACGAAATGTCGTCGGAACAATGACATTTTTGAAGAAATGTCGTAAAAAGTACGACATTTGCTATAAAATATTGTAAAAACTAGACATTTGATACAAAATGTCGTAAAAAAAGATGACATTTGGTACAAAATGTCATAAAAACGACATTTGATGCAAAATTTGGTAAAAATACGACACTTATATCAAATGTTGTAAAAATATTTTGATACAACTGACAAAAAATATGACCATACTTTAAATGTCATATTATTTGTCGGTAGTTACGAACATTTACATCTACTATTGAAAATTTCTCTAATTTTTCGAATTTTAAATCATTCTTTGTCTTAAAAAAATCATCCTTTATATTTAATATTTAATTAGTGATAATTACCTATAACATAGATGATTTCTCTCTCCCTCCGGGGTAGGGGTAAGGTCTGCGTACACTATACCCTCCCCAGACCCTACTTGTGGGATCATACTGGGTTGTATTTTGTTGTTGTTGTTGTTGTTGTTGTTGTTGTATAAACAATTTCTCTTATTGTTGATTAATATTTTAAAAGGTTAATTCGTATAGGACTAGCTCCTGGGCTAAGCATTTCACTACTAGAAATTTGCTAAAAACCGACTAAAGTTAGTCGGTAATGGCCAATTACCGACCAAAACGCGACCATTACGGTGTGGACGGTGTTTTGATGGTCGGAATGGCTTACCGACCAAAGTTGGTCGGTAGCTTAAAACGACTATCTGACTAGTTTAATTACTTACCGATCAACTTTGGTCGGAAACATATTTTATTAATTTAATTTTACCGACCAAAGTTGGCCGGTTGAACTAAATTATATTTTTTTTATTAATTATTAAAAAAAAAAAACCGACCAAAGTTGGTCGGTTTAACTAAATTATGTTTTTTTTTATTAATTATTAAAATTAAAAAAAACCGACCAACTTTGGTCGGTAATTGAAAATATATATATTTTTAAAATAATTAAAATTAAACATTACCGACCAACTATGGTCGGTAATCTCTACCGACCAAAGTTGGTCGGTAATGTTGAATTTTGGGAATTCAATGTTCATTAACCGACCAACTTTGGTCGGTATTTTGGAATAATTTATTTTTTTTATTAAAAACTCACCAACTTTAGTCGGTTTTTCTGGGTTTAATTTTGGCATAAAATGCCTGTTTTGGCAGCTACACCACCTGCCAGCATACCAATATACTTAATAACAACAACAACATAACAACAACAACAACAACAACAAAAACAACCAAAACATTCAATAAATACTTTAAAACTAACAAATTAAAGTTC